CGCTTATTCATTTCCTTCAATAAAATGTCGTTTTCTTTTGCAGAAATTGTGTTTACTTAATTATATCAATTAAAATATTAGTAACTTTTAGCGAAAATGGACGTTGGGATATATTCGTGCAATTTCCTATGCTAATGCATGTTTCTAGACTCCGGTTACGCATTTGAGCGACTTTTTCATTGAAAGGATAGTAATTTACCCTCTAGAGTTTTAATAAACAGATTTAACGGAACTTGAAAATTTATTTTATGTCCGATGTTAACCATGGCGATCAATCTGCTAAGATAAAGGTTATTTTACTAAAACTAGAGGTTTTATTAATTTCTACGTGTCAAATTAAAGGATCTGTGGGATCTGGTGCTCAAAAGTGCAGTAATAACGGAAATAGGGATTCCTTCGTTTAAGTGGACTGAAACTGTTTTGCCGTTTGGAAAATTCTACCTGAGGTCACATAGATAACCACCACGGAATGGTCATTTCCAACTTTAAACGTATGAAGCACTACTTTTCGTGAAGTTTAGATTCTGTGCATATCTTATTGAGAACTCGGACGAGCAAAACATTTATAATTTCAGCATAATATCGGTACTTATATGGGCGCTCTGACGTGCATTCATAATCGAAGAACGGAGTCTAAAAGCGAGCAAAAACAGTGGAAGTGGCCTCAATGTATGGAAAAAGGCATGTTCTTACGTTCACGGTAGAAAAATATTAGTATTTCTCAGGAACGTGAAAAAACTGTCAAAAGTGTCAAATTTTTACTTAGCCTCGTCGTCAAAAAATGCAAAGTACACAGAGATCCGTCGACGGAGTGCAGTAATAAAGTACTTCTTAAAGAGATAACTTATTAAGGAAAGTTTTTTTAATAATGCAAGGCATATTCGTTGGTGACTTTCGTTGTGGACAGTCATTTTTCTCGAAAATGAAGTTCGATGTTTGAATGAGTCTTCAAATGTTACCCAAACGATCATCTTCGTGAAAAGGAGCGCCTGAACACTCACTAATTCAGTAAATGCCTTCAAGAACAATCTTATTTTAACGTTCTCAACATACAGGTAATTCAGAATCTGTCTTTATGGGCAATCGGGTGAAAACACTGAAAATCATGAAGTATTCAGCGATATTTCGAGGCCGATCTAAAACTCAACGTAATCAAAAACGAAAGAAGAGTATAAATTAATTTAACGAGAGAAAAGTTCGCTCTATAAACAGAAAATGTTATGTTTACGATCACGCCTGTCAGTTCTATTTTAATTTATTAGGCACCGACCGGCCTCATGGCATGTCACCTTATGAAAACCTTTGATCCTACGACGTCACCATCGGCGAACTCAAGCAAAATCCAGCTTCTGTTGTTGAACCCCATCTAATTTAACCCCAATTCGTTAGTGAAATTATGAAACACTGGTAAACTCTTTTTAAATCTACACCCAAAATGTAGGCAGTTGACAACCCGTCATATATGACATCACACTACTTATTAAACGATATTTAGATGTAAACTTCACTGAAACGCTGTTATTAGACGTGATTCTATGTCTACTTTCATATTTACTACGTGTTTGGTATGAGAATACAGCCTATACATCTGAAAACGAACTTTAATTAATTAGAGCCATCTCTGACGTTTTCGGGATGTTGCGTTTTTCAAAATAAATCGACATGTCTAAACAACGTAACATTGCCTATAATATTTCTTTTATATCTTTAATTCTTTTAAACTTGTACTTAATAAACATAGACATTTGACTCACGAAATGGTGTCAGTTTGCGAGTGATTGGCAATCATTCGTACATTTCGACACATTTCATGAGTTAGGTCACGCACTGTAAGCATAATGGCTTTGTAATGAGATCTCCTTAATAGCGGCGGTTAGGCTCATAAGATTAATTCGCTGTGTCTCAAACTGGTGAGTGAATTGGAGTACCACAGACTCAAGAATGTAATATTTACAACCAAATTGCACTACCAAAAATTGCTTTTGGCAAATCAAAGACATTCTGATAACTAGACCAAATAAGGGAACTGGCGTTGTTTTGATGGAGAGGATAGACTATATTACAAAAATACAGTCGATTCTGTTGTATCTGGAAAATTTCAGAAAAACAGAAAAGGAGAAGGATCGTACAGATGAGACTGAAGCCCAACTGACTGCTTGAAAAGACTTCAGGCGGATGGTTGCATGAGCGAAAACGACGTAGAGCGCCTCTGACCCGTCGGGACGCATATAGCCCGAATATATGGCTTACTGAGGATCGACAAACATGGCACACCGGTTCGTCCAATCATCGATATGAGGAACTCGCCGTACCATGCAATAGCGGAACAGCTGGCAGAGAAAATTAAGCTTCTGCAGCTTCAACTAACGCTACATAATTATCGAGATACCTTTATTTCATTAACGGCGCGAAAGACCTCGATCTGAACGGCATGGTCATGTTTTCGTTAGATGTCTCATCCCTTCTTATGGACGTGCCGGTAACGGAAACGGTCATTTACCTTTGTGATTTCATTGTCGACAGTCAACAGGATATAGGACTACCATTGAATGCCCTCAAGGAATTGTCATTGAGATGCACGTTGAACATGCAGTTCCTATTCGATAACAAGCTATATAGGCAGATGGACGACACAGCTATGGACTCGCCTCCTTGCCCGCTTTTGGCGAATATATTCATGGGAAGGTTAGAAGATTCCAGCTAAGTTACCAGATCAACGGTCCGAAATACTATGGGTGGTACGTGGATGATATATTAGCAATTGCACCGAAACAAAGTGACATTTCAATTCTACTGGATGACATAAATCAGGGGCACCCATAAACCGAATTCACCCCGAAAGAAGGACAGTCGGGTTCACTTCCCTTTCTGGATGGGCTTCTAAGCAGAAGACCTAACGCAGCATTCGACGTAGCGCCTACCGTAAGAAAACGTAGTCCGGACAATACGCTCATTTTGGTAGTTTCGTACCGCTAAACGTTAAAAGTAATTTAGTCCGCTGTTTGACAG